CAAACAACCGCCCAAAGGGCCGCGCCCCAGCGCGCGCCTGCGTGCCCCAGCACGCCCAACGCATGCCCAAGTGTGCCCCAGCGCGGGGCCGAGAACGCTCCAGCACACGCCCCAGTGCGCGGCTAGAGCGTACCCCAGCGCGCGAACAGTCCGCGCAAGCGCGCGGTCAGACCACACGGGTGCGCGGCCATCCTGCGCGCGCACGCGCACCCAGGTGCACGGCTGGCAACCCAAATTCGGGAATTGGACCCAAATGGACCCGAGGGTTTTTGAAACCCTTGTAATGCGTGCTGACGGACCCGGAAAAGTTCCGGACCCCAAGGAAGATGAAATCTGACCCGAAGACAAAGAATGAAGCCGAAGAATAAAGAACTCAAGAATCGAAGACCCGTTGATGTAACAGAAGGAAATAATTATTGTAATTATTTATTTATTCGATTGAGTTGTAATTTATTTATCCATGGGACCCGGTCAAATCCATCTCAATAGCTGATTGCACATATTTATATTTTATGTTGATAATTATATATTATATGTCCATGCATATAACATGCCATATAGATTTGATTCTTTTTTGAAGTTTGAATTCTACTCTTTAAATATGAGAATGATAGAAAATTGTGAACACAATTTTGGAAACATATTTTCTGCCCTAATAGTGAGAGTGGCCGAATTTCTCAAAAGAAAAGGACAAGGAAAAGTTTTTCTCCCAAAAAATTCCACATCGTGCATGCGTTGGTGTTTATGGAAAATTCGAGTGTTTCTTCAAACCTGTTTTGTCTCACTTGTGCCCACACACACGTCTACGTGGAATCAAGGAATTGACATGGAAGACTTTGATTTTCTAAACACAAAGATTGGAGCAATGACTGTTCGTGATCAAAGAACTCAAGTTATCATCCGAGTCGGCCTCCACGTATTTTTCCTAATTGAGTTCTTAACATATAAATTAATGTGATTAATTTATTCGTGCATAAATTAATATAATCTATAGAATATCTCAAAAGTTTTATGAAATTTTTGTTATACACGATCCGCCTCCCCGCGACGCTTCCGCATCCGAATTTGATTCGCTTACCAACAATTGGTATCATAGTGGTCTATAGACGATATTAATTTATGCTTCGATTATTTGATAATCAAAATTGATATATTAAATATGTGATATTTAATTATGTATGTATGTGATGGGTAGGCACTTGCATTTATGGATGTTTATTTTGATTCATGTTGATGAATGTATGGATGGTGGATTTGGTCGTTAATTATATGGTCCATGGATCAGTTATATTTATTCATTGATAAAATTATTTGTAATTTAATTCGGGATTAGAATTATTGTAATTCTAGGTTTT